GTAGATTTATAAATGCGTTTTGATATATTAGTTACCAAATAGTGAGCCAAAACCAAAATAGTAAACTAAAGAAGTACAATGATATTCAGAGAGTTTTTTTTTAACATAGATATGCTCCCCTTGTGACTTTTGGTATTTGTGTAATATAAGTGAGATTCTTTATTGTCCTTTATTTTCACTAGACTAAAGAAGCCAATCCTTGAAAGTGAAACACATCTATGGTAACATGTTAGGGATTGGTAATTACCAGACTCTGCAACGTTTTCAACCTTTTTCTCCGCTACTGATGTGTTTACATCTTTGATCCAGGACCTCTTTCATTATGTTTGCTGTCCATGAGGCTTACCCTGTTCTTTGTTTTAACCAACGATTGGTGTCAATCTTGAAAAGCTTCATGTTAAGCTTATATACATCAGTAAGGACGTTCTTCCTCTCACTCCCTATTTTTACACCACCATACACTATATCCTGTGGAATTCGGCTCTGTGGTCCTCAGTATATACACATATATACATTTAGCAGCAATCAGTCAATGTTTAAATTGTTGTCCTATTTTAATTCGCTATGAGTTAATTAGCTAGCTCAATGAACAGGGCCTGCATGTGGTAAATGGACACCCTAGGTGAACTGAATTTCGTGGCCCCAAAGGAACTATAAAATCAATCCAAAAAGAAAATATATACAATTAAAAGTGAAAAAAAATTACGCAATTTATTAAAAACATACCTGTATGATCTAGATTCTAGAGATTAGAGCTAGACTACTAGACATAGAGCCAAAGATAGCTGCTATATGAGATTTGAAAGATACAAAGCTAGGTCAGTAGACATAGAGCCAAAGAGCTCTGCTATGTTAGAGATTTGATCCAAGTTTTGCAATTTTTATCAAAATACTTTTTAATTCATGTGCGAGGCCCTGTCGGCTGCCTAGTTATTTTATGCCTAAGGCTGGTTCTGCAAGGAAGTAGAATGCTTGGTCCAACACTGAATGACCAAGGTCCATTTCTAGTCAAGCTAATCTTTTTTAAAACTTTTTTTTCCTCCCAGATAATCCATGTCATAAGAAATCCCAAAGACACTGCTGTCTCCGCGTTTTGGCACACTAAGACTATCTTCAACGCAAAAGAACTTCAGTTTCAGGAACTCTTAGATGCCGTAATGGGACAGTGTGAGTTAACATTAACCTTGTTATTCATGGATGACCATTATGGTCATATCTCTTTTTCATAATAAATATTACTGTGTTTGTGTGAGTGTATCTGTGGTCGTGTACAGGTTTTACCTAACTTTCTTGAAGACTACTTTTTTAAAAAAAAAAACTGTCTGGCTTGATAAAATACATTTAACAAAATATTTTTATTTGTTTCGTTGTTTTTAAAAACATTTTTTTTTATCTTACCAGCACAGCTGCCAACTCAGTTTGACTACTTACAGCAGATGTCAGAGTTTGAACGAACACATCCAGATCATCCAATCAAACACGTTTACTATGAGGAGATGAAGAAGGCAAGGACGCCGTGATATTCTTTCGCTATTATCTTATTATAAAACGTCATTAATTAATTACCTCCTAGGGCTTATATTTTTGTTATATACATATAAGAAAATAGGAAAGTTATTTATGATCATTGGGTGGACGCTTCGCAGTCTCCTCTTTCTGCAATCTCTTATTTGTAAAAAATCTGTGTTTGGTTGGATGTCTCAGAGTTTGTATAGTTAGTCTGTCCGTCCGTCTGTCACGTTTTGATCACAAAAAACTAGAAAAGATATTTAATGTCCGATCTAATGATCATTTAGAGCTAGCAATTCTGGTGCAATAGCTTATTTTTACACAATGACAAAATCTTCTCAAAAACCTTTAATTTATACAGGAGCCTGTTAAGATAATCAAAGAGTTGGCTCAGTTTCTCAATGTACCAGCCAGTGATGAGTTCTGTCAGGATGTCGCCAACGCTTGCAGCTTTGATAAAATGAAGAAAATTGAAGAGACTGGAGCCAAGGATTTTCCAAAGGAACTCAATGATGCCATCACAGGTGCTGGTGGCAGTCTAAAATTTTATAGAAAAGGTAAATTGACAGATTTTTATTTGTTTTAGACGCTTTTATGGAGTGGAATTCATTTACATCTATAAAATGAAATTAAAACCTGTATAAAGTTCTCTTTAATGACAATCTTTACTTCTCTCACAGTAAGTTGATGAAACAAAAGTTAAGTTTTTGTCTGGTAAAAAGGCTGTACACGTTATTTCTCCCTCACCCTATCTCGTATCAAGTCTGAAAGTTTACAGGATTGTTTCTTGTAATCGACAATACAAGAATCAATAAAAATTAAAATAAAAAGCTATTTAACTATTGGTAATTAATTATTTTGTTTGGTAGCTTTAACAATGGAAAGAAATAGTACTTGACTGAAGTGTTAGTTAAGTTGAATTAGTCCTCTTTATACTTTATAGGTAGCTGCTTTAAAGTTTGAAGCTATAAATAGTTAACTGTAAAACCTTTTTATTTTCATAACTGATACGCTTGGCATCGTGATTAGTGTATAGGCTTGAGGAAGCTTTAGCCCTAGAGTTTGAATTCAGGTCGTTCACCTTTTTTTTTTAAATATAAAAAGCGATCACCCAGATACACACTGCTTTCTCACCCTACCACTTTCCAACTGGTCCAGCAAATGTGATAGGACCATAACGTAGTGAGAAAGCTAGCAGCATGAAATAGCTCTAAATAAAAAACAATTGGTAAAAAATATTTTTAATCGCACAGATTTATTATTGTTGGTCTAGATTCTAGATCTATTACAAATTGAATTACACGACTGATCCAAACTAATTTATACAACTAGGATTAATATAGGTTTCGTTTTTTTTAAAAGTATTTTGTATTTGTTTTTCTTCTATTTTAAACTCATAATACTAACTTAATTATCTAATAATCATTTAAACGCTTAATTTGGGTAAAGTCAACCAAATATTATTGTTTGGGAGTTTCTGCCAGGTCAAGTGGTATGTGCTGTGTTCTCAATCATCCCCGTTTCAAACCATGCCCTTCGACACCCCCAGCCTTCCTGCGGGAGGTTTTGGCCAGGATTTAATTATCCTCAGCTCTGAAGGAACATCTAAAGCATGTTACTGGGAATATTGTCTGAAGGAACATCTAAAGCATATTACTGGGAATATTGTCTGAAGGAAAGTCTAAAGCATGCCAGTGGGAATATTGTCTGAAAAAAAAACTGCCTCCCATTTGAGAATATTTCATATTTTAATTTTATCATGCTAATTTCAAACCGCTGGTGTACAAATTAAAAGATTCTTTATGATATGACCTCCTTCACCCGTGAATTGACTTTGTAATAGAATGTATTTAAACGAACGGCAAATGCCGATATAGTTTTGATTAGCGCCTTCGCAGACTCTGTTAGGGTGTAGAGTAGTGTGCTGCAAGCTGCTAAAGGGTCACCGGCTCCTGATTTTTTCTCAGACTTCACTATTAAAGCCTTTCGCATGTTTGGGTATAGCTTCAATGCAGCAGAGGTTCGAACTTTGAGCTTTCCTTTTCCTAGGTTGGTAGCCAACCTAGGCTGTCGAGCGCCTCCTGCCCAAATCTTACTGGCTTAGATTAAAAGAATATTTATAAACAATATAAACACATTAGTATGTGAATTCAAAGACCGCACCAGAAACCAAGAGATTAGAGACAGGGTTACTGCAGCGATTGGACCCCATGATGACCTTCTAACTACTGTAAAAAAAAAAAAAAAAAAGCAAGTTTAAAATCTATGGCAATATTACAAGATCTTCGGGGCTCGCAAAGAGCTTCCTTCAAGGAACAGAAACAGGAAAAAGAAGAAGAGGCAGACAGAGAAAGCGATGGGAGGACAACACAAAAGAATGGACAGGTCTGCCATTCAAAGAGGCTCTAAGGCAAAAGGCACAGAGAAATGGAGAAAGACAGTCGACGAATATTGCATGGTGCCCTAACGGTTTAACAGACTAAGGGATAGGTAAAGGTAAAAATACACATTGATTCAGCCGTTTAGTGTGATTAGAATGAGTGTTAAAAAATATATTTCCTTTCTACACAGGAATCATCGGAGATTGGAAAAATATGTTCACAGTAGCACAGAATGAAACATTTGACGCCTTCATTGATTCTTGCACCAAAACCAAGGGACTAAACTACGCCTTCATTTTTGAATAAAGTGTGAATGTATTTTAATGTTGATGCTTGGGAAACGTTTTATTTCTGAGTGGTCAGAAAACAAAAAGACAAACCATTTAATGAATTAATGAATCAATATTTGTTTATTTTCACAATACAATCTCTTTACACTGAATTAGTGACATTTTAACAAATTATTATAGTGGTTAAATATTAAAATTTAAAAGATTTTAAAAAGTCGCATATATAGTAGTCATCCTCGTATTGCTATGGAAGAACTACCATTTTTTATTGGGCTTAAATTTCATATATGACATTTAATGTTTTCTTCTTGTTGTTATATTGTTATGCGCTTGTTTATTAAGGTATGAACTTACTCGTTAAGATTCATAAATTTATGCTTTAAGTAGACAGTAAATGTAAATCTTGTCATTTAGGCAGTGTTTAAATTGACGACAAGTTAACATCTGGAGACCGGTACCGGGCTGTCAACTTGTGGAGGTTTCTCTACTAGTGATTTGGGAAAGTGGTCATAGTAGTTGAGTTCAGCCTGTATACAATGGCGTGGCACTTATGACTGAGTGATGCACACGAACAATTTTTTTGTGTTGATTAACCTGCTTTGTGGTACATAACAGTTTCAGGAATTCAATCGCTCCAACAAAACATACTTCTTGGAACCTTTGGGCTTCCATATGATATTGTATACACAAGCCTCCCCCACAGTTTCAGAATGACAATACACCATCCATAAATAACGTCTCTGTGTGTGTATGTGTCCCAGAACTATTGGACTTTACTAGTAAATAAAGACATTGACCTTCAAAACTTCGGAGATCAGGCATTTCGTGTGAGATGTAAGCCCACATGTGGGTTGTATGGCTTCAAATGTATGCGGACCTTCTTGCGACTAGGGCAGGAAAAAGGACAAGCGAATAAAAGCAAGAACTATGAACAATTTCTGAACAAAGCTTTTACATTTGTTGTTGTGATACCATAAAATTCGTTGTTATTGTATTTTGTAATGTATTTTTTGGATAATAAAGTGAAAAAAAAAAGACTTATGGATTTATTTACATAAAATAAATGTTGGGCTTGTATTAGGATGTATTTGTATGTGTTCCTGGGTGGCTACTTAATGTGTTGGACTGCTCCCTCAGAAGTCCTCGGCCTCGACACCTTGCTTTGTAGCCCTTTGGGTCATGCACAAGAAAATATTGTGTAGATATCTAAGATGATTGTGTACATATATCTATGTTTGGTATGTGGGTGCGGTCATGCATGTATTAATGTGTAACTATCGGTGTTTGTTTACCTTTATTCTTGGTTAGTTATCCTTTAGTTGTTGGTACGCTAATCATTGTAACATGTGTCTGTCTCCGACGGTCTCAATAGTTATGTGGTATATATATTTGATTTTAAATTATAATTTTATTATTATTATTGTTATAATTTTGTCAAGTAAGCGTTTGATCCAATGGAGGGGTTACATAGAAAAGAAGGTTGGAGAGGCTCGTGGAGCTTTATCGGTACTGGAGACTATCTGAGAAAAAAATTACTTACAGATGCTATATTTATCTTTTCAGTCTGTGGTGATTCTAACAAAACTCCGGGAGCTCTCGGTGTCAATTGGTGGAGATTATTTGTCCCGGGACTTCATTGGGGAAAAAATTATATCGCCATACCAGACAAACTGGAAAGAATAACCAATCTTAGATTATATATAGTCCTTATTATATACTGTCAGTGTGTGTGTGTCTGCGCCGTTTTGTTGCGATTACAAGGACTCTTGTCTCATATAAAGACAACACAACAGAAACATTCACATTGTTACGTATCTAGGCATTGTTACCTAGATACTATTTTTTTTTCTTGACCTGTAGGTTGTCTGCCCCTTGTGTAATAAGTTTTTTTTTTATTTTTCACGGCGAGTCAAGCCACACAGACAGTGACCGGTCCTTGACCTATGTGTGTACCTCTGGTTGAAAGGAGGGTGGTTTTTTTTTCTTCTGTCTCTTTGAAGAGCGTTCTAGATCTGGGTGTTGATGACTTATTCTGTTCTAGAAATTACTAGATTTGTCTTGATATCGACGCGCGGTATATTATATAATGACCGCCCGTGTAACGTTGACGGACAGACATACGGAGACAGCCGTGAGACAGAATAGCGGAGACATTGCGTGACCCGTGCGTGGTATACCAATTGATCGTGTAAGTTAAGATTTTTCTTTTTTCAAGGCCTTGCTTGTATTTGTAATTATATTTTCAAACTCTGGTATTGTAATATTTTTACATGCCATTTTTGTAAAAGGGTTTTGGTCAACCCTTCCATTTTGTATTGAGTAAATGTTTTTTTTTCTTGCTTTATGTGATTCAGTTAAAAGTACTATTCGAGTTATATTTTATTAAACCTTAAGTTGATATTTTACCTTCCGATTTCTTGTGTCATTTTTTGTTTGTTATTCATTGTAAGTCTTTGATTAAATTCAGACTTAAGATAAGTGACACAACTGCTTTTTCTATTGTCACGTTCCCCTAGGCAAGCCATTTAAAAATTAGAATTCAATTCGTAATACGTGACAACATTAATAGGACAGACACAACATCTTTGACCGAGTCCGGAACGAACGAGTTCTTTACCGCTTGGTTCTAGGTTCTAATCCTGATTATTAGAAGTCGCCCACTTGCGACGACTTGATGTAGTTATGATGGAGCGGGTGGCTGTTTCTTCCAAGATTTTTCCAATGGCTCAACTTCTGCTCAGGTATTCCAATGATTGACATTTACATAGCCGTTTATCTTAAAGTAATCCACGCTCTGCCTCTCTCTGGATATCACTGACAAAGAGAGTGACCTTTACAAGTTAAACCATTTTCAACACTGACAGGCTCAGTATTTCAGACACACTATTAGTGATTCGTGGGTTGGGTTGACTGTCAGAGGGCTTTGGTTCAGAAGTCTAGAGTTTCATACCCTTAAGTTACACGCCCCCCCCCCCCCCTCCATTTTTTTTGGTTTAATTAACAAGTCGGATTTACACTTCATAAGACCGTAAACTATTTCAGGGCCCCTCGTAACAAACAACGTTTTCCTTGCTCTTTCTTAAAAAAAGAAAAATGTCATTGAAACACTTTTTGGGGGACCCCAGCAATTGTGGATCATAAAGCAAATGAGGGTCCTTAAGCTTGTATTAGCCGATAGGTAAATCTCTCACTTAAAATAAATAACCAACATAAAGTGTAGACGGCTATGCAAATGTCAACTTAAATGCTACGTTGGTCAAGCCAGTGGTAGGTCTGTATATCGAAGTAACAAAGACATTTATCTTAAAGTAATCCTCGCTTTGTTTCGACATTTACAATCAGGCGCGGTAGTTGTTATCTATAAGGGTATGCCTTTAAACGCGAACGGAATAGACTATTGTAACCTTAACAGACAGGAGACTTAGAGATTATGATTGTGGTCAACGAATTAATTAAATACAGATACAAAGACGACTTATCAGTTTTTACTTACTTTCGGTTAGTACTTGTTGAGTGATTTCATGGACTTGCTCCAACACTTGTAGTATCATAAGCAAAACGTCCCACATGGGGGATCAAAGAGGATCACTTGTTGACCTGGCGATTCTGAGAAACTCGGTGCCGGAGCTGTACGGAGCGAAGGTGTTTCTGTATCCAGGTGTAGGTGACCCGGTGTCCCATGTTGAAAACTTGAGAACGTTCAGCATGAGGGAGGACGATGTAATAATTATCGGCGCCCCAAAAAGTGGTAAGTGTAAGCATTCTTTTATTTGTGGTACTATGGAAATACAAAGTATCTCTAGTAGTCAGAAGTGTAGTGAGAGGGAGTGGTACTATGGAAATACAAAGTATCTCTGGTAGTCAGAAGTGTAGTGAGAGGGGGTGGTACTATGGAAATACAAAGTATCTCTGGTAGTCAGAAGTGTAGTGAGAGGGGGTGGTACTATGGAAATACAAAGTATCTCTGGTAGTCAGAAGTGTAGTGAGAGGGGGTGGTACTATGGAAATACAAAGTATCTCTAGTAGTCAGAAGTGTAGTGAGAGGGGGTGGTACTATGGAAATACAAAGTATCTCTGGTAGTCAGAGGTGTAGTGAGAGGGGTTGGCAAGGGGCACGATCCTCCTCGGGGGGGGGGCGCTACTCTCAGGGGGGGGGCGCTACACAAAGAGAGGTGACAAAAGAAATTATTGTATGTAGATACTTTAGTAGTTAGGTAAATACATTCTAAGGTTTTTTGTATTATATTATTGTTAAATACTTTTGATTTATAAGGCTATATTTCCATGTGATGTTCATGGTAAATAGGGAAGGGGGGAAATAAAGTACCTTGCCCCGGGCGCACGTTTTGCTTACTACGCCTCTGCTGGTAGTTAAGCAATTATGCTTCGAATACTTGACTGTTTTGAATGCGAGTTTCATTCAAAAGATTTTGCCCTTGATGTAGTAAGGGAACAGTACCAGGAAAAAGAAGAAGAGGCAGACAGAGAAAGCGATGGGAGGACAACATAAAAGAATGGACGGGCCTGCCATTGAATGAGGTTTCTAACTAAGGCTAAGGACAGAGCGGAATGGAGAAGGACGGTCGACGAATCTTGCGTGATGCCCCAACGGTCCAAAAGACTAAGGGATAGGTTAAAGGTCAAAAGGTAGTCTACATTGTCATCGGTTGATCGATGCATCGCAGTATTTCATTGAACGTGCTAACGTAAATGAGCGATGACGTCAGAGGGAGAAAGCAGACGACTAGTTGCCATTTTTTTTTATATCTCAATATCTGGTTTCGCAACTCACTATTGTTAGTAAAAATTCTTCGGTTCTATTTAGGGCACATGTAAGAGCATTCATTAATGTGAAGTATTAAATAGAAGGGTGGGAGGGGGAGGCCAAAAGCAAAGACTAGGCGACTCGAAGAAACGGCTATTCACATTTGACTAGAGCAACACGATCAGTAAACTTAGAGACACTTCAGGACAGAAGAATAAAAAGTAAACCACTGAGCATCGCGCGTCGCGCTGTAATTTACAAATACCAAAACACAACCTATTTAAATATTCATAAAGACACACAAATAATGGTATATTTCTTAGTCCATATGCTAGGACAAATCTAATAAGTGCTCCTTCTTCGCTTACGACATTAGAGCAAAGTACGGATTGTATGAATCAGCCCTCCCTACTTAAAAAAAAACAACAAAAAAACAACGTCTTTGCAGAGTTTAAGTTTCTAATAAACATGCATGAATAAATTAATACGGTGAGGAATTAATTATCTTTTATATTTTTTAGGCACATGTTAATAATATATAAAATATTTTATCAAACGAAAATTTATTCTTTAAACACCAATTTTCACCCTTTTTATTTCCAATCTCTTGGGTCCTACACATCTTTACAGAAAGAGACAAAAAAGTATTAATTATTCCGGTATTTTATAATTTTTATAAAACCTTTGTCAAGGAAATCATTGGCTATGGGAGATAACTCAGATGCTACTTCGCCAGACGTCAAAACACGAAACGAGGACCAAGGAGCACATGCAGGTCGATAACCCGGAGGGACTAGCAAGAGCTGAAAAGGAACATTCTCCAAGGATTCTGAACTCACATAATGTTATGGTACATCTCCCGCAAGAAATAATTCTTAAAAAGATCAAGGTTAGTAGGTGAAGGTTTATACACATTATGACAATTTCAACTTTCAATAATGAGTCTATTTTAGGGTAAAGTGTCCCCACCGAAAAACAATTCTGTCTGATCTAAGTTTCATATCGGTATAAATCCTTGTATTTATAACTTTCGTATATTTCTCAAACTTCTTAAATGTAAAATTTAGAAGAAACAATTTGCTTATTTTTTTGGATAGGATTATTTCATATTTGTTTAAATAAAATAAACAAAATTAGCTTAATAGTATATACAGCATTATTATTTAGTTTCAAGTATATAACTATAATAAAAGATATTAACATATGTGATGCTGCGCCGTATGCATTACACGATAAATGCCCTTGATTAGTATCACTTTTTGATATCTGGCACAATATTGGTAAGCTGAATTTTAATATTTGGTCACAATTTGGTAAGGTGTCAAGCCTGTTTCTAGACTTTGGCTTTGTTGTTACGTAATTAGAAAATCCAAAGCCCACTGCTACATAATTGTGTCAATGTCTGGTACGA